GATCCTATGCTATTTTGTAAAATGTTGTCGGTCTGTTAGTATTTTCCTCCTTTTATTTCTAAAATAATAAAAAAAAAGATGTGTGCATGTGTAACACACAGAAACACACATACTTGTACACACATATGTTCACAGTTGTACACGTACAAAACTTTGTAAGCATTTTTTATTTTAACTCTGCCAGACGGAGTAATTTTTAAATAAGGATGGGTGTCATCACCTCCCGGTTATGGCCATAACCGTAACATTTTCCTACCGTTCAGCAGAGGGCGCTATCTCCCCAGCCTATATCCCAACATTGTAGGAAGTATGGGATTCCTGAATTCAGAAAGGTTATGACATTGGTCTTCCCGTCCACTGGGCAAACTTGGGGACTTTGTGCATCAAGATATATACATTTTCTTGCAGAGTTTAAACAATTTTTTGGTTTTAATTTAAAGGACGCTTGTGGGAATTTTTGAATCAATATGCTACAATCAGCAATAACCAGGGAAATAAGGCTTCTCAACTCACCTACCAGTGCAAAAGTACACGTGTCCCCGGGAGGAGGTAGGGAAATGGCAAAATTTAAACAGTGAATTAATTTCTTTCTTTCCTTCTAAGCAAGTGCACTTCTTCTTCTTTCTTTTATATGGGGAGTGTACTCAGGAATCAAAACTCCTCTCAGAATCTGGTAAACATGAAAACACACCAAAAATTTCCAAAGGTTCATGTGTCCCCTGAGGGTAATTCATACTAAAACACCTTGCTGGAGATACTTTTTAAAGTGGTATGAGGACATAGGCATTTTTAAAAATCTTTATTCACACAGGTGCAGATTCAACCTTCCACTGGTATGACTTCCACGGTTAGAAATTGGATACAAAATTTGCTGCATTTAGAAAACAACCTGTTACTTCCCTAAGGTCTGTGTGATTAGTAAACACTCAAAACTCTACCCAGAGGCACTGCATAGCCAGAAATACATAGCAAATAGCAAAGATCACAGTACCTCCTTTTATTGGAATAAATGTTTATTTGAACTGAAAGAGATGCTGTCAGCACAATTTAGGGCCAATTCAAAATTTTCACAAGGTGCTTGCTGAGATAGTTTTGCTCAGTGCAGCATAATT